CTTGGTGGGGGGCATACACACGCACACACACACACACACACACACACAAATAAATAAAGGGAGACTAGTATAGATCTATTTCAAGCTATTTAGCTCGCATCAGCTAGCCATACCCTTACTGGGATTCGAACCTGGGCTGTATTACATATTAGGCAGATATGTTAACCACTAAGCCACAGGATTGGGTTTCTGTCTGGATGGTCTCTTGTGATGAGCTGATAGACAGAGAATGGAAGCAGTAAGCTTCCTCTCATCAGCACAAATACAACATATATATAAATACACACACAGACACAGACACACACACACACACACACACACACACACTAATAATTAAAATAGTATACTACAGTATGAATAAGGACAAGTTACATAACTAAATAAATCCAAACAATAGAAATGCTCATATTTGATCATTATTAAGGATGAAACAATTTTAGGTAGTCAACAGTACAATGAAATCCTGTTAAGAAAGCACTCCACAAACCAAGTATTTGAGGAATGAACAAACTATCTTCATGCCTGAGCATGTGTGGGGAAAATGTGGGAAAAAGTGACATTTCATACAATGCCAAACCTGAGTTTTCCAATATGTTGAATATAAAGTCACATATTTATTCTTAATAAAAAGGATTTTCCCCTTTAGGAGTTTACCAAATGAGCCTACAAATTCACTTGAATGTAATCTTAGGCAGTCTGTAAATGAGATCAATTCAGGCTGAGTGAAAATGCATACCTATTAAATCAATGAATTTCATTTAGCATTTTAACATTTATAGGATATGTCTGATTCATCAACATGCATGAAATGGAAATGAGTGCATGCAATACGTCTGGGTGCAATTTGATTGGCACAGCAGTTGCTTATTTTCTGCATGTTTGACAACAATCTAAATTTATGTTCTTCTCATTTATCATAATTAGATTTCTGTGTGAAAAGTATGATAAAATGGAGCAGATATTTTACACTGCCTATTAAATATGAAATAAAGATCCAATAGGTAATAAGTGCCCAGATCATCTCACAGACTAGAAATTACAAAACTGGGCAAATTATATATTTCAATAACCAACATGGTGTGACATAAAAACCTGCATATTTTTACACTTACAGACCTCATATATTCTTACTTACATACTATACTAACACTTTGAAGTCTTTTTTTTCATTGTTAAATTATTTTTATTTTCATTTTCATTTTCATACACTCACATGTATATTGTACATAACCAACGCCATACAGCATAAAACAATAATTCCATCAATTCCTCTTGTCAACAATGCCCCAGAAAATAGAAACTCAATATAACTCTTCCATTCTCCATACACCTCTTTCTTCCACCACCCTCCAACTTTCTATCTTCCCTCCATCATCCCGCTCTACTCTACTTCCCCTCCCCCTCTACCACTCTTCTCTCCACATCCACTTGCCCCTTCCTTCTCACCTTTCCCTCCCTCCCTCTCTCCCATCCCTCTCTGCCCATCTTTCTTCTTTCCCACTCCTCCTTTTCTTGGTGTATTTCCGCTACATGTCAATATGCTTGGCCTATCCTATTTTTAAAGAAAAGTTGAGGGGAAAAAAACAGTATACATGTGAAGTCACGTTNCTTCCAGTTTTCTTCACCGCAGTTACAAACTTTTATTATTTTTCCCCCTTTGAAACTACATTATATAGTTCCCAGAGGTGAGTTGCTATTGGTTTGCACCGGTTCGGGTAAACCGATAGCGGACTTGGTCACAGAACCAGCAGTGACCCAGGCTGGCCACACCCCTGAGCCGTTTCCCTGGTCACCGCTGCCATTGCTGTCTTTTAGTAATTTTTTCATGTTCTGTGCATGCACAGAACAATTTACAGTCAACTGTGCATGCACGTGCATAGCTAACTGGCAGCAACCTACCCCCGATATTCCTTTCTTCCATAACCCATTTAAACCAGCAAACCCAGAAATCTATTTTTGGCAAAAAGTAGTTATTGTTGTCTCCCTAACTAAACCAGTCAATTTTGCTCTCTCTGCAAGTTCTGCCATCTTCACTATCCAATCCTCTGTTATGGGTACTTCTGTATTTTTCCGTATTTGTGTATATAGTAACCTTATTGGAAATATCATGTATAATATCATACATAAAACCAGGTATCCATAATTCCTTTCTAATTGCACATCCATAGGTCTTAATTTTTAAAAAAATCACTTTTCATCTGAGTAATAGTGTTTAAAGTTGGGTACATATGTATTTATATCCAGTGCTTTTTCACTTTTACACATGTCTGCCCTACATAATAAAATATTCCTTTATGCAGGAGTCATAATTTATAGATGTCTCATCAGTGCTCATCCAACAGTGGCAGTTTCAGAAGGATCTAGGTGTATCTTGCTTCTTTGGTTTCATGACACCAGTATATATCGCATAAATTCCCAAGTACTCAGTTGGGCTTCCTTATAAATTCATGTGCTTAACATTGTACCACCAGTTCTTTTGTATTGTTGCCTGCCATATCATGCCTACCTTGATTTTTCCCCCTCCAAGACTCCAAAACATAAGTCTAAAAATAAGATTGGGTAAAATTCTCTGATTTGCTTCCTATGAAGTCAGTATTTATCTAGAGCAGTGTTAGTGTTGATTTTCTCTTATATAATTGTTTGACTTTCCATAATGCTAAATAGTGTGTTGTTCAAAAGGCCGTATCTCAAAGAAATGTCAAAGAACCATTTTGTAATTATAAGAGGCAATGGTGTATAACATTGAGATAAATGATTTATGCCAAATAAATGCTTCACTTATGGTCCTGGTGAATTTAACAGCATTGAATAAAAGAGGGGAGGGAAGGAGGGAGAAAGGAAGAAGGATCATAGTTACTTGTAAAAGAGTTTTCGTAATTAATCTAACTTAACACTTATTCTTCTTCTAAAGATGCAAATAAAATTTCATTGCATGTCAGTAAATTTCTTTTTTTATTAATGACTGCCCAAATTGAAAAGACAATTGAAAGAGTAGCTGACAGTTTGTTTATGCCTTCCATGTCCAGCCACAAGGAAAAGACTAGTTTGTTTGTAACAGTGATTAATAGCTTCATTGGGACAAGGTATCAAAGGAACAGAATGGAGTAAAGTCAAGTGATAATTTAGAATAGAAAATATTATGTTATGTGGTCAAATAGTACAATTTTTTTATAGCCAATTTCTTTTTGGAGGAGAATACGCCTTGTATGATCTCTCATATGTCTTGTTCATTAAGTTTTAAAATGTTACTAATAAGTAAATTATGGGGTTAGGCAGACAGTATCAGATACATATAAGTAGTTGAAATATACAAAACTCATCAGTGATAAATTGTATAAACTTGCAAGTCAAACAATGACAGTTTTCAACTTTTTTGTATCAATATTCTCTACAATACACTAGTCTTTACCTTTCTGCTATTTTTTCTGACATGATAATCTTAAAACTATTCCGGCAGAGAATTACAGAACAAAAATTCAACACATCTAGACAACACCACTGGGAGAATTGATCCAAATATTGAAGTGAAGTGTTGCATTGTTTGGCCAGAAGTTAGCCTTCATTGTTTAATATTGAAATTAGCAATAGCAATAGCAGTTAGACTTATATACCGCTTCATAGGGCTTACAGCCCTCTCTAAGCGGTTTACAGAGTCAGCATATTGCCCCCAACAATCCGGGTCCTCATTTTACCCACCTCAGAAGGATGGAAGGCTGAGTCAACCCTGAGCCGGTGAGATTTGAACAGCCGAACTGCAGAACTGCAGTCAGCTGAAGTAGCCTGCAGTGCTGCATTTAACCACTGCACCACCTCGGCTCCATCCAAATTACTGCAACAATAAATAGGAAACAGTATAAAATTCACAATGAGGGAAAACTCAAGCCAGAATAATTTGCATTACATGTTTAGTATTTAGCATATGTATTACAGTATTGCAAAATATGGTTTCATATCTGTGTTCAGATAGCTCATGTACAGTGAGCTTAGCATATTCATATTATATATTTAATAGGATACTTTCAATATTTTTGGATTGGAAAATTCCCCAACCCATAATTACAAAATGCTAGCATTTTGATATGGTATTGAAAATGATTTCAATTTTCAAATCATTTTCAATACTGTATTGCAAAAATTATTTTCCATTTATCAAAATGTTCCTTGAAGAAGATCAGATTTTAATATTTCTACAGATTTAAAATCTCAATTTAAATAAAATGAGAGCCAGCTCTTACACAATATCACGTATTTTAAGCTTAAAGATCTTCAATCCATAATAAGATTGTATACCCAAAACTACTTTCATAATAAAAGCAGCAATTTCTTAATTTGACAAAAATTGCTGACTGCTATGACTTATTTGGTTTTAACAATGTGAATAAGAATGCATATCTTATCACTTTGCATACTGTAGATTTATTTAATTTATTATTAGATAAAATGATTATAATTGTCTTTGCTTTTTTGTAGATCAATGCTCAAACTGACCCAGCTGGAGAGGCTTGACCTGGGTAATAATGAATTTTCTGAGCTGGTAAGGAACATTTGTTCAAAAACAAACAAAAACAATCATTCTAAATGAAGCAGTCATTTAATATACAAATCCTCAGTCTAGTGATCCATATCATTATTCTCTTTAAGGCAAAGTTGCTCCCTTGGGAAAAAAACGGTTGCTGCACTATGTAATTTCCTCTATATGTTGAACAAAGTTCTGTTCTATGTAGATTATTTAAAAAATCAGCTATGGAGTGATAATGGATCTATTTCTGTCTGTGAACCTTTTTTTAGAAGAAAATAGGAGAATCAGAATATAAATAATTATTTCTTTGTTTATTGTACCTATTGCTGTAAATTTTGTGGGATAATATGGGAAAGTGCAGACAGTGATCTTACTTGAAAACAAAGTAACACAAAAATTATTAAAATAAAGGCTTATACTTTCTATAACTCATAATATTTAAATGTTTAAAGTTTGTAAAATTTCCTATGGAATAGAATAGAATAGAATAGAATAGAATAGAATAGAATAGAATAGAATATTGCCCAAGTGTGTTTGGACACACAAGGAATTTGTCTTCGGTGCATAAGCTCCCAGTGTACATAAAGATGTAAGTGATAAATCATGATCATAGTCATCATAATACATTCATATTGAATCATAAAATACAACACTTAGTGATAGTCATAGATTACTAAATAAGCAATCAACCTAAATTATATTAGGAAATGAAATAAAACAATATAAATTTTACAAAGATACAAGTATAGCACTACCCCCGAAAGGGCCACTGGAGTCCTGGTTCTCCTTGCTCTCTTGGTATGGCCACAGGTCCACACTGGACCCTTGCTTAGGCACCTCTACTGGCCTTGGTCATGTAGTGTCATGGTAGTCAGTTTCCTCTCAGCAGGCAGGTCATGTGGTGGGTTGCTGGTCAGTCTTTTCCCGGCTGGTGGCTCACGTGTGTGATTGGTCGGCCCTTCTTCCTTTCTCTCTCTCCCCTCTCCCCCTCTCTTGAATTGCCTGCTGAGCTCTCCTTCAACTGGCTCTACTCTTTCATGGATTTCTCTCCTTGCCCCACAGGAGCCTCTTCTATCCTATCCACTTCTCTCTCTCAAGCTTGCCCCACAAAAGCCTATCCTATCCCCTTTTCCCCCTCAGGCTTGTCCCACAGAAACCTCTCTATCCTAAGCCCTTCTCTCCCTTAGGCTTGCCCCACAGAAACTTCTATCTTCCCTCTTGCCTTCACTCCCTCTCTCTTTCCCCAGGCCTCTTTCTCATTTCCCCCTTAAGCCTCTTTTCCTTTTTAGATATTTTCACAGCCCTCTTTTTGACTGGTACAGTATACAGGTCCGCAATGGAAGGCAGGTTGGTAGCAATTGTTTTTTCTGCAATTCTAATTTTCCATTGAAGTCTGTGTCTATCTTCTTTGGTTGCAGAGCCAAAGTTATGGAGGTGGAGAATAATTCCTCTGTAGAACTGTATCAGCAGCTCTTTGGCCAGTATGAGCTTTCTGAGTTGGTGCAGAAAGAACAGTCTTTGTTGTGGTTTTTTGAAGACATTTTTGATGTTAGGTGTCTATTTTAAGTTTTGAGATATTATAGAACATAGAAACTTGAAGGTCTCTACTGTTGATGCTGTGTTGTCTAGTATTGGAAGAGGTGGTAGTATAGGAGGGTTTCTCCTAAAATCTACCATCATTTCTATGGTTTTGAGTGTGTTTAGTTCAAGATTGTTCTGGTCACACCATAAGGCTAATTGTTCAACCTCGCTGTTGTATTATCTGCAAACTTCAGTACTTTAACAGAGGGATCTTTTGAGATGCAGTCATTGGTGGAAGAAAGTGGAGAAAGCACACAGTCCTGGGGGTGCCCTGTGCAAATTATACAGGTATCTGATGTGATTTTGCCTAGCTTCACCTGCTGCTTCCTGTCTATTAGGAAGCTTATGATTCACTTATACTTATCCAAATCTACTATTGTTATTTGGGCTGCTAACTTTTCCACCCAGTTCTAATGAGTGTCAGCTTGATACTTAGTTGACCAACTGATGTACAGACTGATTAAACCATTTGTAAATCAAAATATGAATTTCAATAATATTTAATGAATAATCACTTAAGAGTGTATGTTTATATAAAAGCTGTTTGTTTGTTTTTGCAGCCTGAAGTTCTGGAACAAATACAAAACCTAAAAGAATTATGGATGGACAACAATTCACTTCAAACATTACCTGGGGTATGGCTGTATATACATATATGTACATATGAAATATATAATATTGTAGAATTGTATAATAAATATATTTTGGAAGTGCAGATCATTTTTCTTTATTGAAGTTATTTTGGTACTGCCTTTACTGAAAAAGTTCTTTAAAATTCAGGGAAATATTGACATATGTATCTGCCTTAAAAATAGCCTATGTTGAACTGTGCAGCACAGTCAAGCATCAGAAGTTGACCACAGGAAATTTTTGTGACATTTTTATTATATCATAAAATGATTTAATGACTTTCATTTTACAACATATTTTATAGAATTTGTCCAATTTTTATTTCATCAGAATCTGGGTTCTGGGTTTTGGACGCATTCTATAGTTTAGCCTATTTGAGGTACCTTGGTTTAAAAATTGTTGCCCTACGATGGACTATTTCACCCAGTTAAAGATTATACACAGACAAACAGGAGAATTTCAGTAATATATAGATTTAACAATAAAAGTACATAAACCCAAAGGAAGAAGAAAGAAACACTTATATGAAAACAAAGAATAATTAATAAAAGAATAGATCAGCATAAAAGAGTAAATCAACTTAAAAGGAGAAGCAAATTACCAAAATCCTTAAACCGGTAACTATGGCAATTGAAAATCAAATAAATCTTTATTATGTTCATAAAGCCAAAATAATGTCAACTGCAACAGATTTAGTGATGTTTCTTAACTAAGATGAGCAAATAATCTCCAAATTAGCAAGAGTTCAGATTAAGAATTGTTATTAAGTTTGCCATGCTGTTCAAAAGGGACAAACAACATCAAGAACACATGAGAAATAGTTTATTTTCTCCACTGAGTAAGGACTTGACAGAAAAATTATGACCTTATTCTTGTAACAAGATCAATATCACTATATGGCAGTAGAGAGAATAAAAGCCGTCCTGTGAGCTGGGCAAGGAATATTTGCTAAATATTTAGTATAAGAGAGCAGTCTCCCATAGAAAGGCAATACAAACAAAGTTTGAGCTTTGATTAAATCATGCTGGATGTCCTTGTCAAAGGTCCATTATTTCAGATGAGACCTGGTTTCCAGATTTAAATAATGAGCTGATTATACTATTTTGAGTCTGCAACAGTTACTGCCTTCTGTAAGGACACAACATTGTACTGCGGTATCAAAGAAACCAGGATGCTTATCAAAATGTGTACCTTAATCCAGTATAAAGATATACTCATATAATAGACTATGTGTTGGTGTCTTTCAATATCATAGAAGTGCATGCAGCATACCTGTTCTAATATATCACCCATGTTGGCTAGAAGGGCCTTTGCACACACATTTTGTCACTCATGCTCTGGTTACCTCCTAATTGAACTACTACAATGCACTGTATAGGAGATTGCCCTTGATTCTAGTTTCTAGAAAAAAATCTAGAAATTTCAGCTGGTGCAAAATGTGGTGGCATGAGGAACTATGTATGTTTCTGGAAGAACACACATTACAATTGGGTCCAATTCAAGGTGCTGATTTTGACCTTTAAAATCCTCCATAGCATGGAATCAGGTTACTTGATAGACTGTCTCTCCCAGATTTCATCTGCCCTTTCCACTAAATCTGGCAGAGAGGGCATGTTGAAGGTCCATTATCTAGGGAGCTACATTTGGCGGGCTATAGGTGGCAGTGTATTATGTTCTTTTGCCTCATGGATATTACACAAAATGTTCAAATTTTAATAACTATAGTTTAAGTCAAAATATTAGAAACTAATATATTTTGGGTGTCCTTGCTTTTTACATTTAAACTGATCAATGAGACATCAAGACAGATTACTTTTGCTTCAATAAATTGACATTGCTTGTTCATTAACTTTTAAGTTTGTGGTGTATTACTGTATTAAATATTAGTAACTGCAATGAATAGTTGAATCAACTAACTATATTCTTATGTAATCTTATCAAGTCTATAGGACGATTAAAACAACTGATATACTTGGATATGTCAAAAAATAGGATAGAAAGTATAGATCTGGACATATCAGGATGTGAAGCCCTTGAAGATCTACTATTGTCATCAAATATGCTACAACAACTGCCAGATTCTATAGGTATTGACTGAATAATGACTACTCTGGAACTGGATTAGGGGTAATAGATGAAATGCATTTAGGTTCTTCTCAATAGTAACGGGGGGGGGGGGACCAAACCAGTAAGCATGAGCTATTAGCAACTTTAACTTGAAAATTATATTACATTAAGTTACGTTAAGTTATATTATATTAAGTTTAACTTACATTAAGTTAAAGAACACAAATGAAAGTTTTTATGTCATGCTTCAAAGTTTAAAGAAGTGCATTTCATTAGATTGCTCAGTATATAATTTTTCTATGTGAGAACTCATGCTTGAGTATGTTTCTTAAAAGTTTTCAATAGCATTTTTGTTTCAGAATGTATCTTACACTATATATAGTAATTTCATTTAGAAGATGTCACCAAGAATAATTATTGATGTAAAATTAACATCTTCAAAAATAAGTTTCAAAGTACTTTTTAAAAAGCATAGTGTGGGAATTAATTTAAATGGGATGCCAATCCATTTGGATGCACTGTATTGGCAGCAGCAAAAATAGATGTATCCTTGGAAAAGTTGTGTGTTTCTCTATGGAAAAGAACCATAAAGTTCTTTTCCAGTTGATTTATCAGATCTTTCTGTGTGTTTCCCTTTCTTTCAATTCTGTTACTTCAAGTCATTTATGTTCATAAACCTTCTAATAAGCATCATAACATAGTACTCAGAAAGAACTACCAAACAACAAAAACTGCATTTTGCATTGCAAAACAAATGTAGTATATGCTTGCACTATCCCTTTATTCCAGGGGTGACAAAGAAACTGGATTTCTTTGGGGGCTGGATCAGCATTGTAGTTGTCCTCTGTGGGCCGGCCAGGGTTGGTGGTGGAAATGGGACGCAGCCCCTTCTGCCCGTTTTTGGTCTGGATAGCTTCTCATAGCACCCTGCCAGCCAAAATGGGGCGGGGGACTGCCCCATATTTGCTATCAGAGGCATTGCAGGTCAGTCCTTTGCTATTCCCAGGACAGATCTAAGCAACACAGGCCTTGAGTTTGACACCGCTGCTTTATTCTTTCTCTCTTAACCAGTGTTAAGAAACATTAACCAACTATTTAACAAGCATTCTCTCTCTTTTCTTTCTCTCTTTCACCTCTCTCCTCCTTTCTCCTCTCTCCAGGGCTCTTGAAAAGACTTACTACTTTGAAAGTAGATGACAATCAACTTACACTTCTGCCCAATGCTATTGGAAAGTAAGTAGAAAACATTTTAAAACTTTTCATTTGGTTATATCTTAACAACAACAACAAAAACCACTTATTTCCTTTTCTTCCTTTTCTTTTTTTTCTGCAGCATAATTTCTTTCTTTGTATTTTTGAGTTTTGGTTTATTTCGATCATTGCTATATTGATGGGCTCCATCATACCTTGGATTCATCAAGCATTCAAAAACTCTTCTATATTATATGCAGAAATGTCAAAACCAAAGTCACTAAAACTCTGTAGATAATGTAGTTCAATCCATTTAAGTTGTATTTGTGTAATAGAATTTATATTATTATTACATTATTATGTAATAGATGTAATTATGTAATAATTATTACATTAATAATAATAATAAGATATAACAATGATAATTACAATAATGTAATAATTACATTATTGTATAATAGAACAGGAGGTAGGACTAGAAGACTGCCAAGGTCCCTTCCAGCTCTGTTCTGATTAATCATTTTGGTTCATCTTCTCCACCAGATGGGAAAGCAGATGAGAAAGCATTTCCCACTGGCATGGCCTTTTCTTTTAGTAATACTTAGACATCGTTCTCCATGGGAATATACTCATTGTCAAAAGTGGGTATTAATTCTATTTTCCTAATTGTTGTTCTTTGTTATACAATATTTGCTTTTCCTTTTATAACTTTATGATCTGCTCTTACTCATTATTTCCTTATTAAAAATAAACTATTGGATGACATGAATAATGTCCACTGAGCTCTTGGTACAGATTTCCTGCTTAAAAGTTTATTGCCTAACCTTAGAAGTTCAACCTATTGTTCTGTGCAAGACCAAAAGCCCCATAAATGTCCCTATATAAGTAACTGCATGAGGAAATCAAGTCAAAGGATCTTGGTTTTCTTTTTAAAATACTAATTTATTGATTTCAGTTGATGAAGAGCTAAGTATATTAAGTATATTTTCCAGCCTTTTAACCTTGGAATATGTCAGCTTCTGAAACAATATTAAAATTAACAACTTTCATAGAATAACAACAGAAAATATTTCACTACATATGGTTGGCTTTGCTTTTGCATGCTGTGAACATCCAATCTTTGTAGTTTCAGAGTTACAGTATATTGTTTGTTAATGTTTAAATTCGTCAATTGATATGAAGTCAAAACAGAAAAGGTCAGGATCCAAAGAGCAATATACTTTAAACCTGTATCTGGTTCTGGTCCCATTGTCTTAAACAAACATATGGACTATTTTTTAATAGTGTAATATTTTTAAAATAAAATTTTGCCATCTGCTTTATTAAATAAGAAACTGATAATATGTTTTATTTGTTTAGAATGTAAATTGCTTAACAACAGTTTAAAAGAGTAGAAAAATAGGAGGGAGAATACTGTGCACACCACCCTGAGCCCCCAGAGAAAACTAACATATACACATGAGTGGGATCCTACCGGTTTAACAACCACTGAGCACTTGCACACCCTTAACATGCTTGATGTGTGCTGTGCGCACATGCACAGTTCATAAGAAAATAGCTGAGGCGTGGCAATCCATTCTGCCGCACCAATCAGCTGAGCTAAAAAACAAGGAAATATAGGTGAGTATAACCTGGGGGCAGGTGAGCTGGCCCACCTGAAGGTGGGAGCCAACCGGTTCACTCTCAGCTGATCTTCGGAGCAACTGGTTCGCACTCATTAAAAATCTTCTTAGAAACTGATTTGGTATAGTATCATGCCATTCCCTTTTGTGGGGTAGAGACAAATCTTTTTATTGTGAGAAAGGCATAATTGGTGGAAATGAGCTCAGCGTGAACTAGCCTGTGGCTGATCATGTTGCTAATTCCAGATAAATGACAGTTTTGAACATGGTTAGAGTATCAGCTCAAAGTCTGGAGCTAGTAGGTTCTGCCTGCTTAAATGGTAATTAGCTAGAATCTCCTGCTGCTAATGGCTCCCTTCATCTTTGCAATGATGTGTACGATTTTTTTTTCCTTTGCAAAGTATGTTACACATAGGAAGACATTTTGATGAAGGATATTAATCTGGCTTTGATTGGTGGGGAAGGAATCACAAGATCTTTTTAGAAGTTCCAGATTTGATTTTTGAGCTCTTTCTCAAAACAACTCTTAGAAGCAATGCACTTCTCCAAGTGTAGCCTTGAATCAGGATTACAGGAAACACAAAGCACTTATCCAAGTGTATCTTCCATAAACCACGATTGATGATCAAGCAATGTTGTACCAACCAAGGAACGCACAAAGGAACGTTGACTCCTGCGACTGGGGCGTGGCAGCATCAGGCCTTTTATCTCCAAACCTGCCCCTAACAAGCCCCAGCTGCATAATTAATCTTGTATCCCGAAAAGACTCACAGCAGACATCTGCTGAGTCACAACAGATCTCCATCGTATTTTACAGTTAAGGGAGGGACTTTTGCCCTTC